CGCCACGGCAGAATATAGCGTAGCACATTCCTGTCACTCAGTTCGATAGTATAGTAGCGTACTGTGAACTCCTTTACTGTACGCACAATGACTACCCAGGTAGTTATGTTCTACCGTAACAAGCTGCGGAGCTTTCATCAATATCTTTTGCACATAGCTAGAACCATACTACAGGACCAGACGACATCGATATGCTGAGGCAGAAACTTGTAAAACTAACTTTTCTCGTTCAATCTAACAATCCAATCGAATAGAATAGAATCGAACAGATATAGATATGGAAATGAGTTCATAACAGAACGAAGCGGTAATATAGCATCTATTATCATGAGCTAATATGGCAAGTTGAATTAATGCTTTGGCATACTTTATGTTACTATGAAACTGTTTATTTATACACAACGCAAAAAATCTTGCCAATCCGATGATTAACCGGTATCGACGCTTCCGCCCATGACTCACGGGCCTTCTTCAAGGTACGAAGGTTAACTAACTAAAGAAGGCATTCTGACTTCATACCTACCAACCACTGCAAAAGGCGAAAGAGCTATCGAAGTCAGCCAACCAGTTTCCGTCCGTTGGAGACGGCTTGTGAGACACGGGTCGAAACTTGCAGTGGACAATGCTGTCTGCGTTGTGTATAAATCGTCCTGTTTTCCGCATGACCACCAATGCACGACCGAAACAATCAATGCTACAGCTAAACTGCGCTGATCAGAACACAATGCTACACGCTGTAAGTCTATTGTTGAAAACTTCTACGCGGTCACATCAAGCAATGAATATTTCGGCCGTGGACTTATACTATCGCGTTTGCAACTGTCACTGCTCACTGACCATGGCCTGATCCCGTTGAGACTGCCGAGACAACAGATGCCTATTAGTCTCGGCCATCTGCCAATTTCGTAAACGTAAGTTGGATTTAATGGTACACACGTGCCATCTTCAGTAACGTCCAGCCATCGATTTGTTCCTTGACCGCTTGACATATAATTTTGAAAAGTTCATCTTGAAAGCCTCCTCTCGCCCCAAATACGCATTCAAGGCGATTTACTATCACAGTATAAGGACACAAAATACAGTAAACAATACACTATGTACATAACTTTTAGAACTGTTCCCGATTTTGGAAAAGTGAATGTGAACTAAAAGTGAAAGGTGAAAGCCTGCTACTGCTTGAACTACGCATTACTTGATCAGCGAAGTATCTCAGCTTTCTACGTCAAAGAAAATAAGTATCTTTGTAAAATAAACAACCTATAAATTAATAAAAGTGAGAGAAAAAAGCAAAACAAGTGAAACCATAAACAAACAAGTGCTATTTGCTTTATTGTGCAACAGAAATAAGCAAACAGAACTAGAGCTGCTTTCGAGTTGCTTTTGAGGCGAAATCTTTGTCATCATCAATTGAATATATCGAAAATTTTAGGATTCACGATTTAAACCAAATTATGATAATCAGTGCCAATAAGCAAACTGACCAGTATTGCAAACAATCACGGCATATACAATTCAGAGAATGCTACTGGTTGTGAAAAACGAAATGCGATGTTTGAGAACAATAAGCGATTGTTGCTTTGTGTGCATTCTCGCCATCGCCAATGGGAGAATACTTCGACGAACCTCTTAACCCTGAATAACCGAAAGCAGATATGTCTGAAGAGCAGCAGGCAACGCACATTAGTTTCTCAGTAGAAAAACTCATGGAAGTTGTAAAAAGCTTGAAAAGTGGCAAGGCTGTTGACATCTATGAAATTCGTCCTGATATCCCTAAAGCTGTAAGCGAGCAAGGCATGTTGTGCCGACACGTATCTGTCAGTAAACTGGAGAAAACAGGGGTTGCAATCTCTCCTTTCAAGAAAGGACCATAGGGGCTGCTTCAATTATTAGATCATTACTTTACTGAGCTTACCGGAAAAATATCTACAAAATGGTTCTAGAAAAAAGGTGCCGCGGGATAACTCTGATACAAGAAGAGCAGTATAACTTCAGGTCTGGCCGGATATTCGCCCTACGCCAAACTGTATAGAAATCGTGCGAGTTCGCTTATCCGGTTTATATATAGTTCGCTGACCTAGAGAAAGAATATGACCGGATCCTGCGCGAAAAGCTATGGACATGTCTGCTGATATATGGGATCGATGTCCAATTGCTACGGGCCATTGAACAACTATGTACTGAGAGCAGGTCTGAGTCAGAGTAAATGGCATTAAGTCGAAAACTTTCAGCGTTGAGACTAGTTTCCCCAAAGGCTGCGTTCTGTCCGCTCTTCTGTTTGTGTAATATACGGAAAGAATAGTCAGGAGCAGCCAAGACGATGACTGTATCATCTTATAAGATGTTGCTGCTTGCAGACGACCTTGTGTTCTTGGCATCTTCTGAATATGATTTCGAGCACCGTGCGGCAGGTCCGGTATTCATGTGAGCGTGTCTAGAATGAAAAGCAAACTACTGTCTTGTTCTCATGCCTGATGTGACCTGCATTTAAACGGAAAAGCAGTAGAGATGGCAGAAAAATTCTTGTACCTCTGAACCGTGTTTGCTGGTGATGTAAAATGGGAAGAAATGATCGACTGGCGAACTGAAATGGCCTGTACATTTAGCGTGTACTACACCCAACCGCTGAAAAATAAGCTCTCTCTGTTCACCCCAATGCCTACCTACGGTTATGAGTAGTGACCGATCAACTTCGATCTAAGGCACAAACAGTTGAAGAAATGGGCCTTCTGAGATGCATCGCTGACCAAGATATCCGAGATAACCTTTGGGTGCAGCCGCTGCTTAGGCAAAATCAGAAGTGACATTTGCGATGGTTTCGGCACGTCATTTGGATGCTTCCAGAAACAAAGACGAAACAGCTACTACAAGCTCAACCACCGACTGAAAGCCCCAAGGACGGCCAAGAAAAATTGGAGGAAGTATTCAGGTTATCTTCGGCCACTGCTTAAACGCTAGCACGGGATCGGGAATGTTGAAGACACCGTATGACACGTCTGCCTCCGTGACCTGAAAAGATAAGCGGTAATCGAAACTGACTGGGTGGTTTGTGTGTGTTAATCGGCACTGGACTTAGACAGTTAATAAAGGAACTCAAGATTCATGCAACATGCTTATTCACACATCTAGCACATAGCTCATAGCCAGATTTCACAGCATTTTTCACAACCGGTAGCTCGTAGTTGCTTAAAACGGCATTTAAGCACGCCTCCTACGTATTTGAGCATCTGCAGAGCCAGAGGCATCCCGCGTCATTCTCTGAGAAGAGTCACTTCGCACTCAAGACAAAATATCTTAGGAGTTGGTACGCCCTGTTTACACATAAGAGAGATTACCTCACATAGTTACACTAAACACTAAGTACTGAAAATATGTAACAGAAGCGTATCTGCTTTTAGGAGGAGAATGACACCGGATTAAGCGGTCAAGAAGATTTAAGACCTACACAATTGAATACTATGTCAGCAAAATCAAATGGTACCAAGAAAAATTTTAGTATTGAAATTTAATTTAGTCTTATACGATAATAATACTCATTCCAGAAGTCGTCACCATGATCAATAATATATTCAATAATCAGTAAGTTTCAGATTAGCATAAGATAGTGAGCAGCTGAGACATTTGCCCATTGCCTTTTGGAAGACCGTTGTAGTTGCTTTGGTGATATAAGGTAAAAGAGCTTGAACGGAATTGCTGCCGAGCTTCATAATGTAAGACTTTCAAAAGTAGTACCAGCTATGGATTAAACGAGACTACGTCCAGCAACAAACGCAACGCTACTCCTCACGAATAGGTCGACCTCGAAAAATGTATTTGAAAAACTGCATTAACCGTTAAAAGTTCTTCACAGAAAGATCTATTACCTCTTGCCAACTGATACCCTCCCGCTGGTACTCTTCCTGCTCTTGTTTCAACACCAAATTGATGAACAGCTGCTGTAGTTTTTCGTTGCAGTAATTGATGCAAAATTGTTCGAAACTGTTTTCTTGAAAGATTTCGAATCCGTAAATGTCCAGCACGCCAATCACTGAACCGCTCTTTTGGTTTATTCCCGGAGAAAACGCTAATGCCTCGTTCACTTTAGCGATGATCCAGCAAAACAGGCGTTCGTATATTGCCTAAACAACTTATACCGTGAATAAACGCAAGAAAACATAAAATAACAGCAGAACAAGGAAGCGGTATTTTATAAGATGTTTCCAAGCACTCACAATGAACCTCGCGCCAGATCAACATAGCACAACATGTAGTACTCTCCCTATTCCTTTGTTGTTGCAAAAGTCGTGCAAAATTTCCATGAACAGGAAATGTCAGGCTAACGACGTCGCAGTAGTACTTTCAAGGCACGTTTACTGGGAGAACGGTACCTGCGAGATTCTAGATCATCAATAACGTTTGACAGCCTATGGTTATGCCCATGATTGTGAATCTTAATCTGAACAGTACCTCGTCATGAGGTCACTGATGCATAAATAAATAATATCATAAATAAAGAAAAAATATGTTACCTTAGCTAAGGCGTCCTTTCCTCGCTGCGCGGTTTCCACGTTGTGACCTGTGCGCATCACTTCTGAACGAGCAGCAACAACACGGTAACATAGCGCCTGCCACAAATCATTTTCTGACACCTCGAGCAGCTTTGCAGCCCAAACAGCATCATCAGAAGGTTTAACTGAACAGTTCTCCTGGTCTGCTGATGGTACAAATTCGATATTACCCTATGAAAACAAAATGATAGAAAATACATGAATACTATTAAAAGCCCCTCATCTTTCTGTTTAAATGCTGACAACCTCGATCAGGCTTTAAGCTTCCTACTTATGCAAATGCGGTACACATGAACCTTGAAAACGCATCCCTGGTCAGAAAACTTGAACAAATGAGGCATACAAAGAAGCAACCACAGTTTATACTCAAGGCAGTCTAACAGATACACGAATCACGTGCTCTCAGTTTATCGCCAGTCATGATTACGAAAGCACAGGCCACAATTACTAAAACGATGAACACAATTTCATCACCGAAGACAATGCGTTAGAGGTAAAGAAGTACATAAAGTTCGTGCTGAACTAACTATAACATCAACTGCAGAGCGTCGTAAGACGATACGATTTTCAAACCGAATGTCGACAGTACATTGTTTTCACAAAAACGTAATCTCATATCGTACAACGGTCGTTCGCTTACTGTGGTCGTTCTTTTCAATCACCCCCTTACAGTTCTCAATTCTGCTCTGATATACACATTTAAATCGTCCATTGGAATGATTGATTCCGTAGTCTGTACTTCGTACAGAGCACCTACCCCTTCCCCAAGGAAGAACTCATATTCTCCCTTCAAATTGGGCATATAGACCTGTAACAATATCAAAGCCTTAGCCTGTTGCAGGTTATATTTATCATACTTTTGGCCATAGGTAACAAATGGCATTAACCATAAACGCTTTCCTGCACAATCATTCTATCTCAAAGCATATTATAAATCATTTAAATTAAAAGAATTCTATTATGTCTCCTCAATACCTTGAAAATTACCTCTGGCAAAACTTACGCAAGCAAATTGTTATGAACTACTAATACGGATAAAATTTCGATTTTATGCCTAGTAACCATACAAACATACATTAGGTGCAGTAAAAACAGGCTCAATAGTCACAACTGTAGAAAATTTAAATAATTCTAAAAGAAGATATACAACATAACATCAGTCCAGCGCAACAACAATAATTACCCTAAATAAGATCATTTCATGTTGTTTTGCAACACCGTGCTACTACAGCAATTCTATCAGTAATTTACGATTAAGACTTGTAAAATATCCAGAGTTGTACCTGAATCGAAACTAATCGCAATGAGTCCTTAAAACTAGAATAACAAGCGAGAAAGTAAACTTCTTTCTGCATATCTTTTTTTCTTGAAATAATATATCTAACGCAACAAAGGACGGCACACGCTATATTAAATCAGCTCTATGAATCGCCATAGTATAAGATGATAAATGTTTTCGTAAACTTTTTTCTCCTCCGTATAGAACATTCGTTCCTTTAACAGCTTGTTCATTCTGTCTCAGGAACTACTGAAAGTGCTAAATGAAGTGTCTGTGTCGCAAGTGATTAACGGTCGAACAAGTTCAAATGTGCAAAAGTTTGTAGACTTTAAAACACTTTACACAATGCCATTACTTACGAGATGAAGTACGCTAGCGATGACAGTCCATATAAACTTTTCATCTTCTTCCTTAAACGTAGGAACAGCTCTGAACGCCAAATTAACTTGATTTCGCCAATCCGCGTCATCAATGCTGGCGATCTTAACAATGAAGTCTGAGAAACAGAAAAGAAAGGTAGCATTTACTATGCACAAGAACGTGGCAAATATATCTAGTGAAAAAGTTCAATGCTAAATAATTGCTAAAAGCAAGCAAGAACCAAGTTCTGTGAATGGACACTGCTCCAAGGTTGCGAAATCAAAACCATCGTTGACGAAGGACCCGCTACCAAGCTAATAGAAGAAAATCAGGACGGAAAAGCCTCACAGAGCCGCAAGTGGAGCTCCATTTGGCCAAGAAGTTTGAAAATGGGTGTTCTGTCATAGACGAATACAATGGGCGGACAATAGACAAAACATTTGCGAAAACAAAAAGAAATGGAAAGCAAAAAACAACGCCCAGTTCCTTGCGTGCAGCTCCATTTAGATCACAGCTATTTACATTGCACGACTGAAGGATGGCCAACTGATTTCAGCAGAAGCAAACGCCAACCCATCGGACGAGAAACACAATAGAAGCTTCTGACGATAAATATCACACAAGACAGACGGACGTTAGAATCGAAATTACACGTAGACCATCCTCGTAAATTACTAAGAAAAATCAGTCAGTTGTTTTTTGCTTCAAGGTGTGGTAAGTATCTCGCAACAAAAGCGATTAAATGCTTCTAACTTAAGGTCCCCATAAATTAAAACCACATGAATGAAAATGAATTTAACTGTAATTCTTAAGAAATTGTCCATATGCTGCTATGAAGAAGACTGTTGAACTTTGTATGAAATGCCAGGGGCGCTGTAGACACTACCTTCACTGTTGGAAGAAGTCCAACCTGTATTGTAACTGCGGAAATGAAGATTAGACCATGTAGAGTACGTTATTTCTGAATGCTCGCTGCTACAGTTTGACGACTAAATAAGTGATGTCCAGAATGCTACCGAGGCGGT